CTAAAATGTGCGTTGAATATTATACGATGACCATGATTAATTTATAAAAATCAATTATTTGTGCATAATGTCATCAAATGAGCAAAACAATAATTTATTTTTCATTATAAATTAAATATTATTATTGGTGCAATCACTATGTAATTCACCATGATATAAAATAACTAGTATGTGATCATGATAATTTGTATAATCGTGATTGAGATTTTAACTAAATTTACATGTGCGGTGTCAAGCGATGGGGTTAAGTCTAATAAATGTGATTTGTTGAAAATGATATCGAGTTTCCTACTTATTTTAACAAGATGCCTAAATAAGTTGCACTATTTTTACATACATTTATAAACTGTTATTATAATCATAAATCAAATTAAATACATATATTTTATATTAATACATAATACATCGGCATAAGCATTTACTGGCCTTTATTTTTAATAATACTTGTATAACTAGTTTAAGCAAAAATTGATTTAAAACACAATGATAAAAGTTAATTTATATTTTTAAATATATTTTATGTTAAAAATATAAATAATTAGTTCATCATTATTGGTTTTTTAATTTGTTTTAAATTGTTATAAAACATTAATTATTGTAAAATGAACTAGTTTCTATCTTAATAAGTTTTACATACATAATTTATAAGCTGTTATTTCTACTTATGAATTGAGTTTTCTATATGATTATAGTTTAGCATTTAATTAATTGGTTTAAGAACGTTTCAGCAACAAAATAATTTTAAAATAATTATACAAATAATTTTAATTTTTTAGAAATATTGTATATTTTATATAAATGTTAGAATATAAAATATTTAAAAATTTTTATTGTGCCTTAAACTTTTGACTAAAATCTTTTTAATTGAAATATTAAGTTGGTAAAAATTCATTAAATTTATTAATTATGTCAACGATTGGAAAATCAGAACGAACCAACTTTATACTTTATTTATTTAGATTATTATCTAATTAAAGTTATAATATTAATTACAGTTTAGTTATTGAAAAGTTTACAATGTTTAAATTTTAAAAATATTTTATTTTAACACTTACAAGTTAGTTGATGTACTTTATATATTTAGAGCAAATAGAGAAAATATTTTGATTATTACCGTTTGCAATCTATTCTATTTTAAATTTTGTAAAATTTTAATTGTCAAAGAATTACTTGTTTATTACAACCAATTTTATATTATACAATTTATAAAAAGTAAGTAATTATAAATTTTATTATATTTACATTTTAATAAACTGTAAACATTTGCTTAAATAAAATCCACAATAATTATAACACTAATTGATTTTTTATACTGGCGAACCATTGACCAACCTAATTTTTGTATTTTAATCTAGAAATATCTGTATTAAACAATTAAATAAACTTTATTTTATTTTTAAATAAATTATAATAAATAAGCGTATAGTTTATGGAAAGTATATAATTAGTGAGTGTATGATTTTACAAACATAACTTATGTTGTTAACGAGTGAACAAGTTTTCAAACTCAATCCAGACATACATTTTGTATATTTTGTAAAAGTCATTTATAAACTATATAATCTTTGTACATTAATCTAAAAATATTTGTATTTTTAAAAAATAATTTGATTGTAATTGAAATGATAGTATTTAATACTAATGTGATAGAAGATTAGGGCAATACAAACATTTTAAACCACAATTCTCCATATAATAAATATAGTGTGATTTATAAGATCTTTACCGAAACATGTTAATAATCTATTTTATATCCATAATCAATTATCACATCAGTATTTAATACAATCATCTAGCCGGATATACTGTAATGTGCTTAATTATAATAAATTATAATTAATTTATGTATAATTAAAAGCAGGGTCAAAAAGTGTGTGTAAGATTTTACTGACATGAAAAGAGAGGGGAGGGAAGCCAAACGATCCGACATTTTTCATACTAAATTGTGGTAAAAAATTGTAGTGGTAAATGTAAGAATTGGATAATGATTGATGCATACAACTTGAAATGTAGTAAAAATTTAATTTACTTTTACTTAAAGTTTTTAACACGATCGTTTAATTGTTAATGCAAAAATAATGTTTAAGCCATCCACCAAGCTTTGATTTCAACACATGTCACACAATGAAACTAAACTGTTACTTATACCAATAAATATAATTTTACACATGATTTTAGTATTAATAATTAATTGATTGGACAGTGTTTATATGGCATGTTTAACCTCAATTCAATATTAATAAAGTGGTTTATATGATCTTTAGTTTTAATCGCTTCCAACTTTATATCCTATTTATTTTAAGATTATTATCTAAGTTACGTTATGATATTAATTACAGTTTAGTTATTTTAAGTTTAAAATAATTATATTTTAACATTTTGTTGATGTAATACTTTACTTTAAATATTTAGAGCAAATAAAAAAATGTTTTGATTATTGTCATTTATAATCTATTGTTTAATTATAATTGTAAATCAATCGTGTGGTTAATTGCAAACAATTTTAATTTATACAACTTAAAAAGGTACTTTATTATAAATTCGAATATACTGTATGTACACTTTTAGTAAACTGTAATTATATACTTGAATATAATTCAATATAATTATAGAACAATATAATGTTCTACATTGGTATATTTTTCCCTAATATATTTTTTTTATAAAAAACATTAAAATTCAAGTACGTGTTTAAGATAGTACGTTTAATTATTGAACATAACTTATACACTCGTTACGTATAATTCACTGCGGTCTCTGTCAGGTTTCTTATGGCCAACACCTCGAGGTTAGTTTGTGTTGTATTAATTGTTTCATCTGGTATTTCACCATCATCGTATACTTTATATATTATTAAATTAAATGTACATATTAATTTGTTTATATTTTGCATTTAATTTAATAAATTTTGTTTACCTTGCACCATTGCATGTAATTTATGAGTTAGATTATTATTTTCTGTTGTTTGTGGTATTACATCTTGATTGATTGCACTTGGTGATTCCATAACATTATTATTATAATCATTTAAATTATAATAATTACATGAACACGTGTACTATACTAATAATAACGTTTTCATAAGAATCATTATATCTTTTGTTAAGTAAAATTAATTTTAATTTTTTATCTAGACAAATATTTTATTAGTTTATTAGAATTTAATATGAATATTAAGTTAGACCTTCAATCAGTATATTATATATAATTATTATTCCATATAAAATAACAATTTAGTTTTCATATATTAATCGCTTAACTACATATAAATATGTAAACTTGTTTTGTATTTATTCTGACATTGAATTATAATTGATATGTATTTAGAGTCAAATTATATTTTATTATTTAATATTTAGGTAATATTGGTATAATCGATAAGTCTTTGTCTTCGTATAGATTTAATAGAGGTATCTTAACCAAATTAATTTTATAATTTAAGTCAACATTCCTAGGCACCAAAAACCAAGTTTCATAAAGATTGGATGATTGGTGTTTATACAGGAAATTTTTTTAATGTTTCAGTCGGAATTATTTTTCAAAATATAGCTCAATATTTTTTACCAAAAAAATAACATATTTTGAAAGTAAAAATATTTTTGCAAAAGGTATGTTGGAAGTTATTATTTTGTTGTTGGTATTTACTATTAGTTATCCAACAATAGTTTAGAGCAGTAATCATGACATTTGTGATAACAGGAATCAAATGCAAACCGACCGAACACAGGCCGCCAATCGGGTCGACTATCGATAATCAAGTGGCCACAGTTCAGGCACCGGTCAGAGTTGGCCATTATATATGATATGGATGTATACATTAGATATTCACAATATTGGAAGAGTAGGGATTTTTAATTATCTCTACTATGGTTTGAGTATGGTCAATTTACATGCGATTTCAAGCGTCGGTAATCACAAAAACAGACGCATTCCCATAGGAATACATTATTTTGCCTGACTTTGTTTAAAAATTTATTGTATAAACTCTATTAAATCTATATGAAGACAAAGACTTATCGATTATGCCAATAGATGTATATAAACATAATAGTCTATGATAACTACTTTTAATTTGGCGAATATTGTCCTCTGTGTTATTTACATTTACAATTAGTTAAATTTTATTAAATTATTGATTTTATTTAAAATATTCAAAACAAATGTTAGTTGAAACAACTGTTTTGGTCTAACCAAAATTTTGAACATAGTTAATATGAATTATAATTTATAAAACACATTTTCATTTGTAAATTGGTGCGGTTTTCGTGGGTACGGTTTATTCATTCTCGGTTAATAATATTGTTTTATAAAAAATATGACTACATTGTAATTCACCAGTTGGCTAACTGTAATAAATATTATCATATGATTTAAATAATTATATATAAAAATAATTCAACTTTGGACAAATAAAGTTATTCAGTTCATGTATCCTAAAATAAATATTTTAATACACAATATTTATAACTCATTTTAGTTTATATTATTTTGGGTTTTATAAAACATTTACAAATATTTTGTAAAAATAATTAATAAATTCAATTGCCCATCTTAAAATGTTTTAATTGTTTGTTATAGTTTATTAATCTTTTTATTAATAATTTTGCAATGATGTATAAAAATGAAAACAGACTTAGATTATTTTTTATATTTTAAAATTTTCAATTTAAATGTTAATCTATCATGATATTAATTTGCAGTTTCTATTGTTTTAATTATTAGTAAAAAATATATTTCAATTAATTGATTATATTGTTTTGTAATTATTCTATTATCGTATAGTAATTATTTCTATTATACCATTTACTTTTATCATTTATTAATAGACAAATATTAATTGGAACTGGGTTTAAATAATGCCAGACTTAAGAAAAATGAAACAATAACAATTGTAATATTCATCAAATAACCATGGTAAACATCTGGGTGTTGATATGTCCAACCTCGTGCCATTATATTACGGATAGATTGCATTGGATATGTCACCGGATTTATATAGTTTATAAACTGATACATATGGGGAATGGCCTCAAGTGGCCAAAAGATACCTGATATGAATAGCAGGGGAAATAAAATTCCCATGACAAAAATCTATAAATGTATAAAAATTAAACATATTTAATTAATTAATATAAAGCTATAATTAGAAGTAATAAACTTACTATAACTGAAAAGGGATCGCTCAAAATGACAGCGAGTAATAAACCGATGAAAGTGCCCGCCATCATTTCCACGAATAGAAACAGGAATATTTCCCAATAACTTCCCGATTGCTGAACGGAAAATACGACAAACACAACACTCATCGCACTTATGATCTGAACTAAATTAATGATAATATTGATGATTATATGGGCGCCCATATACTCGTACTGAGTGACACCGGCGGCAAACATCCGGTTCATTATGTTGGACGACTTGTCATTTATCATGATAAATGTCGATAGAATCAAGCACAAACTAAACTCTGCATATACCATGAGTTGCGGTCCGACAAACATAAATGTGGTCAGAGTTTTGCTTAAATCGCCGTTAAATACTTCGCTAACCCTAATCGCGTTCATCTGGTTATAGATATTTGTATTGTTTACAATTTGGCCCAATTTTTGCGTGAATATACTAAATGCTTCCAATAGGTATCTAACCATGGTAGCGTACATTTGTGGGTCTAATTGTAATAAACATATAATATAAATATTTTAAATGAATTGTTGTTGTAACTAAAATTTACATTTAAAATAATGTTAATTACTTGAAAGGTCTACATATAGATGTATAAGGCTTTGCTTAACGACATCATCGCTGGCGTCAAACATATCGGTCACTCGTGTCTCAAAACTGTCGGTAAAGTTGTCCCGAAATTCAAGCGCCAAATAATTGTCACCAATTGTTACCGACTGAACGGCGCTATCGATCGATGGGTAATGAGATATACGTATGTTTTGCGCATTTATTGAATCAATAATTAAATGTGATAATGATGTTTGATTGTCACCAATTAAATCGCTATTATATACGCCAACCGGTATGTGCTTAATGTCCTGACCAACTATCAGGTGCAACGATGCCATAGTTATAATAGTCAAAGCATAATAGGCACACATGAATAGCGGCCGCCGTTTAATAGCAATCCATTGTTTTATTAGCATTGCTTTCATTCGTTGCCAATCAATGAACGCATTGTTTTTGTAGTAATTTTTTCTCTCATTTGTTGTCAAAATATTATTGTTTAAATCAATGTCTGTATTGTCATTGGAGTTCAAGTCATGTCTCAAAGTAACGGTGTTTTCGCTTGAATGACACAACTGTAGGAACACGTCCTCCAGTGTCGGGCACTGGTATTCATCCATCAATTGTTTGGGATTTGATTGTCTCAATACAGCGCCGGATCTCATGAACGCCACGTTATGCGCACTCCGGGCCTCCTCTATATAATGGGTCGTTATTATCACTGTTTGGCCTAAAATGTAACATTATATTAAAATATATACGTATATAGCTTTTGCTAGCCTCATACCGTATTTATCGCATATATCCTCCAAGTATTGCCATATCCTATGCCTGAGCAGAGAGTCCACACCAACAGTGGGCTCATCCAATATAACGAGTCTGGGTTTGTGTAACATTGTTATGGCGATCGACACCCGGCGCTGTTGTCCACCACTTAATTGACTAATTAGTCGGGAATTTTCCGGTAAATGCAATAATTCTCGCAAATTATCAACGCTTTCATCAATTTCCTCGCGTTTCATATGATATATCATTCCGTAATAATCAAGTATTTCTCCGATTGTGAAGTAATCAAATAACGCCAACTCCTGAGGCATATACCCGACACCCGGTCCGGGAATACCCAAACCTGCAGATCCGGCCATTTTGCCAAACACCTCAATTGTGCCTGATGTTAATCTTAATTGTCCTAATATTACACGCATTAATGTGGTCTTTCCGGTTCCGTTTGGACCTAACATTGCAAATATTTTACCTGTAATTTAAGTATAATATTTTTTAAAATATAATATTCTTATACAATATATCAGCATTATATTATCAGCTTTATATCTGTAAAATAAGTAAATAATATCTTGCTTACCTTTCGGTATTTTCACCGTTAAGTGATCAAGAATTACATTATTAATACTATAACCAAATACAGCATTTTGTATATTCAGAGCCATGGTAAACCTAGAATATTTATTACAATTTAAAGTTATTTGCAAAATATATTTAAATGTTTTTAATATAAAGAATTATGTTAAACTAATATAATGGCTATCGTCTATAAATTTACATTATTATAATTATATTGAATTATTTTTATATTGTTCAAAACATTATAACTTTTGCATAAGTTTTTTTAGTTAACAAATAATTGTACATTAACCTTCACATTTTTATTTTTTAAAGCTAACATGGACTGGAGAGAGTAGATTGTAAATAATATTATAAATTCAAACATACATTTTAAATTCTTATTGGTCTTAATTTATAATTATATTATATTAATAACATGTTTCAAAGACTATTATTAATACCCGTATATAAAAACCTAAAAACTTTAATTTCAACAAATTATAAATTACATTTACTATTTAAAGTAATGACGTTGCCAACAATTAAAATAAACATATAAAGATACATATAAAAACATATAACAACATGACATGTACATTTAATCATAAATAATTCTATTTTTTTCGCTAAAATTTAGTCAAATTTACGAAATTATATACTTTATATAATAACTGTTGACCACATATTATCACATACATATGACTATTACAATTGTGATTAATTTATAAATATAATTATGAAATTTATACAGTATTTATGTTGTACAAATTGTACATGTACATATTAATTTATGTTGAGGGTCAAATAAATTAAATAAATAATAATCATCGCTTTCATTCTTTGTATTTTTATAAGTTTTTATTAAAATAATTAATCTTTGCTAAAATCTTTTCAACAATTGAATTATCAGAAAGAGTACGGACGTAAGTAAAGTAATGTATTTGTATGAGAGACTCAAAGTTGTGATAACTTGAAAAGTTCATATCAGATTTTGACAAACTATATACCAAATTGTTTGGAATAAAANATATACACAATTGTAACTCTTTACCATTTAAAATCTACATGTTCAATTTTAACAATCAGGGTATCAAATTGTTTGTAATTGAATGATACAAAAAGTAATTTGTCAGATTTTTGATTTTTTAATTATGACATCTATAAATCGATATAGAACAAATAGCTACCTAATTATTACATTTTAATATTAAAATATTGTAAATTTTACAAAGTATGTCTTTTAATATTTAATTACAAACAATTTGGTACACTGATTGTGAAAATTGAACATTTAGATTTTAAATGGGAAGGAGTTACAATTATGTATATTTTATCACTTTATACCACAATACTCATATTCATCCTATTTACAAGAAAAATCCTGATATACATCTCAAGTCATATTTTATTCCAAACAATTTGGTATATAGTTTGTCAAAATCTGATATGAACTTTTCAAGTTATCACAACTTTGAGTCTCTCATACAAATACATTACTTTACTTACGTCCGTACTCTTTCTGATAATTCAATTGTTGAAAAGATTTTAGCAAAGATTAATTATTTTAATAAAAACTTATAAAAATACAAAGAATGAAAGCGATGATTATTATTTATTTAATTTATTTGACCCTCAACATAAATTAATATGTACATGTACAATTTGTACAACATAAATACTGTATAAATTTCATAATTATATTTATAAATTAATCACAATTGTAATAGTCATATGTATGTGATAATATGTGGTCAACAGTTATTATATAAAGTATATAATTTCGTAAATTTGACTAAATTTTAGCGAAAAAAATAGAATTATTTATGATTAAATGTACATGTCATGTTGTTATATGTTTTTATATGTATCTTTATATGTTTATTTTAATTGTTGGCAACGTCATTACTTTAAATAGTAAATGTAATTTATAATTTGTTGAAATTAAAGTTTTTAGGTTTTTATATACGGGTATTAATAATAGTCTTTGAAACATGTTATTAATATAATATAATTATAAATTAAGACCAATAAGAATTTAAAATGTATGTTTGAATTTATAATATTATTTACAATCTACTCTCTCCAGTCCATGTTAGCTTTAAAAAATAAAAATGTGAAGGTTAATGTACAATTATTTGTTAACTAAAAAAACTTATGCAAAAGTTATAATGTTTTGAACAATATAAAAATAATTCAATATAATTATAATAATGTAAATTTATAGACGATAGCCATTATATTAGTTTAACATAATTCTTTATATTAAAAACATTTAAATATATTTTGCAAATAACTTTAAATTGTAATAAATATTCTAGGTTTACCATGGCTCTGAATATACAAAATGCTGTATTTGGTTATAGTATTAATAATGTAATTCTTGATCACTTAACGGTGAAAATACCGAAAGGTAAGCAAGATATTATTTACTTATTTTACAGATATAAAGCTGATAATATAATGCTGATATATTGTATAAGAATATTATATTTTAAAAAATATTATACTTAAATTACAGGTAAAATATTTGCAATGTTAGGTCCAAACGGAACCGGAAAGACCACATTAATGCGTGTAATATTAGGACAATTAAGATTAACATCAGGCACAATTGAGGTGTTTGGCAAAATGGCCGGATCTGCAGGTTTGGGTATTCCCGGACCGGGTGTCGGGTATATGCCTCAGGAGTTGGCGTTATTTGATTACTTCACAATCGGAGAAATACTTGATTATTACGGAATGATATATCATATGAAACGCGAGGAAATTGATGAAAGCGTTGATAATTTGCGAGAATTATTGCATTTACCGGAAAATTCCCGACTAATTAGTCAATTAAGTGGTGGACAACAGCGCCGGGTGTCGATCGCCATAACAATGTTACACAAACCCAGACTCGTTATATTGGATGAGCCCACTGTTGGTGTGGACTCTCTGCTCAGGCATAGGATATGGCAATACTTGGAGGATATATGCGATAAATACGGTATGAGGTTAGCAAAAGCTATATACGTATATATTTTAATATTATGTTAAATTTTAGGCCAAACAGTGATAATAACGACTCATTATATAGAGGAGGCCCGGAGTGCGCATAACGTAGCGTTCATGAGATGCGGCGCTGTATTGAGACAATCAAAACCCCAACAATTGATGGCTGAATACCAGTGCCCGACACTGGAGGACGTGTTCCTACAGTTGTGTCACTCAATGGAAAACACCGTTACTTTGAGACATGACTTGAACTCCCACGACAATACAGATATTGATTTAAACAATAATATTTTGACAACAAGTGAGCGAAAAATTTACTACAAAAACAACGCGTTCATTGATTGGCAACGAATGAAAGCAATGTTAATAAAGCAATGGATTGCTATTAAACGACGGCCGCTATTCATGTGTGCCTATTATGCGTTGACTATTATAACTATGGCATCGTTGCACCTGATAGTTGGTCAGGACATTAAGCACATACCGGTTGGCGTATATAATAACGATCTAATTGGTGACAATCAAACATCATTATCACATTTAATTATTGATTCAATAAATGCCCAAAACATACGTATATCTCATTACCCGTCGATCGATAACGCCGTTCAGTCGGTAACAAATGGTGACAATTATTTGGCGCTTGAATTTCGGGACAACTTTACCGACAGTTTTGAGACACGAGTGACCGATATGTTTGACGCCAGCGATGATGTCGTTGAGCAAAGCCTTATACATCTATATGTAGACCTTTCAAGTAATTAACATTATTTTAAATGTAAATTTTAGTTAAAACAACAATTCATTTAAAATATTTATATTATATATTTATTAAAATTAGACCCACAAATGTACGCCACCATGGTTAGATACCTATTGGAAGCATTTAGTATATTCACGCAAAGATTAGGCCAAACTGTGAACAATACAAATATCTATAACCAGATGAATGCGATTAGGGTTAGCGAAGTATTTAACGGCGATTTAAGCAAAACTCTGACCACATTTATGTTTGTCGGACCGCAACTCATGGTATATGCAGAGTTTAGTTTGTGCTTGATTCTATCGACATTTATCATGATAAATGACAAATCATCCAACATAATGAACCGGATGTTTGCCGCCGGTGTCACTCAGTACGAGTATATGGGCGCCCATATAATCATCAATATTATCATTAATTTAGTTCAGATAATAAGTGCGATGTGCGTTGTGTTTGTCGTATTTTCCGTTCAACAATCGGGAAGTTATTGGGAAATATTCCTGTTTTTATTCACGGAAATTATGGCGGGCACTTTCATCGGTTTATTACTCGCTGTCATTTTGAGCGATCCCTTTTCAGTTATAGTAAGTTTATTACTACTAATTATAACTACTATACTAACTAATTATTATATTAATTAATTAAATATTTTTAATTTTTATACATTTATAGATTTTCGTCATGGGAATTTTATTTCCCCTGCTATTCATATCGGGTATCTTTTGGCCACTTGAGGCCATTCCCCATATGTATCGGTTTATAAACTATATAAATCCGGTGACATATCCCATGCAGTCCATCCGTAATATAATGGCACGAGGTTGGACATATCAACACCCAGATGTTTACCATGGTTATTTAATAAATATTACAATTGTTGTTATTTCATTTTTCTTAAGTCTGGCAATATTTAAACGCAATTCCAATTAATATTTGTCTATTAATAAATGGTAAAAGTAAACGGTATAATAAAAATAATTACTATAAGATAATAGAATAATTACAAAACAATATAATCAATTAATTTAACTATATTGTTTATTAATAATTAAAACGATAGAAACTGCAAATTAATATAAACTAAAAATAAATAAAATTTTATTTATTTTTAATTTCCCGGTTTGGCATAATTTTAGTGTATATTTTAAAAATGACTAATTATACATATTTAAAACATGTGCCAAAGCAAATTTAGACATTACTGTCTTAAGATGTCCACCATTTCTTAACCAATTGACATAAAAATTATATAATCACATAAAATTGAACATGGATAAATGCTCACTCATCTTACAAAATTTCTTTTGATTCCAATGATTACTTATTATATAAAAATTACCTTAAACAAATTTCCACATTTTTGGAAAGCTACGATATAAGGCCAACATTTGCAATAATAAAATAACATTTATATATCATTAGTGTAATAGACTGTTATAAATGGTGTGAGATATTAAGTTTTGTAAATAATATTTTTAAAAACATAAAGACTAAATAAGTCATGTATTTTTAACCTCAATTTCGTATGAATAATGTAGTTTATAGAATTTGACTTTTTCTTCTGGTTTTTTTCCAACTTTATATTTTATATTTCTTTTAAAATTATTATATAATTTACGTTAAGATATTGATTACAGTTTAGTTATTTTGAAGTTTACAATGTTTAAATTTTAAAAAACATTATATTTCAACACTTTGTTGATGTAAATTTGTAAAAGTTATTTTAATATTTTGTATATTTATGTTGAAATGAAAACATGTTTTGATTATTATTATTATTTGTAATCTATTCTGTTTTGAATTTTATAAAATTATAATTGTAAAGCAACCGTGTGCTTATTGCAAACAATTATACTTTATACAAGTTAAAAAGTATATTATTATAAATTTTACTTTAATAAACTGTAAACATTTACTTGAATATATACCAATATAATTGTAGAACCAATTGATATCTTTCAATGGTGTATTTTGTGAGTGATATAATTTTTTAACTTAATCCAGACATATATTTTATAAAAGACACAAAAGTTTTGTAATTCGTCAAAATAACATATAAATTAGTTAATGTTATATCAATTTATCTCCTTAAACATTGAATGAATGGGCATTACCATTGTATTCACTCATTACTTTTTTAATTAACATTATACACGGCTAGATGATTGTATTAAATACTGATGTGATAATTGATTATGGATATAAAAATAGATTAGTAACATGTTACGGTAAAGATCTTATAAATCATACTATTCTATGGAGAATTGTGGTTAAAAATGTTATTAATCTATTTGTATTGCCCTAATCTTCTATCACATTAGTATTAAATACAATCATCGCAATTACAATTAAATTATTTCTTAAAATACAAATATTTCTAGATTAATGTACAAAAATTTTATAGTTTATAAATGACTTTTACAAAATATATGTCTGGATTGAGTTTGAAAACTTGTTCACTCGTTAACAACATAAGTTATGTTTGTAAAATCATACACTCACTAATTAGATACTCTGTCATAAACTATACGCTGATTTATTATAATTTATTTGAAATTAAAATAAAGTTTATTTAATTGTTTAATACAAATATTTCTAGATTAAAATACAAAAATTACGTTGGTCGATGGTTCTCCAGTATAAAACATCAATTAGTTTTATAATTATCGTGGATTTTATTTAAGAAATTTTTACAGTTTATTAAAATGTAAATATAATAGAATTTATAATTAATTACTTTTTATAAATTGTATAATATAAAATTGGTTGTAATAAACATTTAATTCTGTTACGATTAAGATTTTACAAATTTTAAAATAGATTAGATTACAAACGGTAATAATCATAATATTTTCTAGTTACTTTAAATAAATATAAATACATCAACAAAATGTTAGAATTAATTATTTTTAAAATTTTCAAATTGGACACTTTAAAATATAAAAACTGTAATAAATATCATAACCCAAATTAGATAATAATTTAATAAGAATTAGGATATAAAGTGGGATTTGACATGTGAATGTAAATGTTTGACATAATTAATGAAATTAATTAATTATTACCAACTTAATATTTAAATCCTAAACAGTTCAGTTAAAATTCGAGGCACAATTAAAATTTTAAATTATTATATATTCTAACATTTATGTAAAATATACAATATTTCTTATAATAAATCAAAATTATTTTTATACGTATTTTTCATTGTATTTTGACTGAATTAAATGCTAATACTATAATCATATTTAAAACTCAATTCATAAATAAAAATAACAATTTATAGATCATGTAATATAAAACTTGTCAAGATAAAAACTAATTCATTTTACAACAATAAAGGTTCTATATAAAACAGATTAGAAAACCAATTATTTGTAAATTAATAATAAACTAATTATTTATATTTTTAACATAAAACATATTTTAAAATTATCTCGTTGCTGATATTGCTCGAACTATGCAAATCAAACTATTAATTAAATGCTAATATTATAATCATATAAAAACTCAATTCATAAGTATAAGAAACAATATATAATTTATGTAATATAAATTATGTAATGTAAAACTGATTGATGCACATTAAATTATATTGCTAAATTGAGTTTAAAAAATTAAATTATGTCGTGGCGATTCACCAATATAATTCATCAATTGGTTCTATAATTATATTAGATTATATTTAAATAAATGTTTACAGTTTACTAAAGTTGTAAATATAATAAAATATACAATAAACTATATTTTTTTAAACTTTTATAAAGTAAAATTGTTTGCAATAAACAAATGATTGATTAACAATTAAGGTTTTAACCAAATTCAAAACAGACCAGATTATATACACAGGGGCCTCTTCCCCCTAGAATTCTAAAGTAGATTGCAACACTGCTTTAAACGTTACATTAATTTATTATAATATTTATAATAGACATTAGAGTTTCTGTAGTTTTTTTTAATACAAATCTTTGTAGATAAAAGTACAAAGAATTATATAAACAATTATATAGTTTATGAATGCCTTTAATAAATTATATTTCTGTATTGAGTATAAAACTATAACCTATGTGAATACACGCCACCAATGTAAAACATTAATTGGTTGTAAACTTATATTTAACTATTTTCAAGTAAATGTTTACAGTTTACTAAAGTTGTAAATATAATCAATTTTATAATAAATTACTTTTTAGAACTTGTATAAAATAAAATTGGTTGTAATAAACACTTGGTTCTTTTACAATTAAGATTTTACAATATTTAAAAGATTCAAATTATAAATTATGAGGAGATGTGCATTTAACTATAGTAATTATTTTTAGCGGTTAATAGTATTACCCTCAGACTCGAGATGTGAACCGATCATGTATTGTGGGGTCAGTTTACCGAAAGTTTATTTTAACTATATTTAACTATTTGAGGCGTTAGTAACTATTTTAACTATTTTGTAAAATTGAGTGAATTTTAGCTTAAAAACAGAAATATTTGAAATAGAATTGAAACAAAAAGAAATTATTTCAATAAAAATAAATATAAAATGTAAAGAAAGAGAAATATCACGAGTTTTGGTTTTGTGTTTTACACTCAAAACATTATAATCACCAAAAGTATCGTAATTTTTAAGATGATCTAAGAATATATTTATTCAATCAGCTTGGTCACCTTGCTCGATAGTGCTTTAAAATTTACTGATATCTGTTTTTGGATAATTTTTTATGTATAATATATTTTTATGAATAATATGTTAATTGCATACGCATTTTAACATTTTGTAATTTAAACAACAATATAATGTTAATTTGTGTCATTAAATAAATTCAAATTTTAGTAGGTCGTTAACTATAGTAGACTATTACTATAATTATATTTATAAAGTGCATTAGAAATAAAATCAAAACAACTTATATATTTTTAAACTATTATTATTAAATTAATGTAATTACGGGTAAATTAATGTCAGTATTTAAGAAAATTTCTTGTTTAACGTAGGATTTTTATGTTT